TCACTGATATGAGGAATTCTTAATCTCAGGAAATAAACTGAGAGTTGCTGGAGTGGGGGGGGGTGGGGGGGAGGGGGCGGCTGGGTGATAGACATTGGGGAGGGTATGTGCTATGGTGACCGCTGTGAATTGTGTAAGACTGTTGAATCATAGATCTGTACCTCTGAAACAAATAATACGTTATATGTTAAAAAAAAAAAAAGACGACGAAGAAGATAGCAGGAGGGGAAGAATGAAGGGGGGAAATTGGAGGGGGAGATGAACCATGAGAGATGATGGACTCTGAAAAACAAACTGAGGGTTCTAGAGGGGAGGGGGATGGGAGGATGGGTTAGTCTGGTGATGGGTATTAGAGAGGGCACGTTCTGCATGGAGCACTGGGTGTTATATGCAAATAATCATGAAACACTACATCAAAAACTAATGATGTAATGTATGGTGATTAACATAACATAATAAAAAAATAGTAAAAAAAAAAAACCAACCAACAAACGAAAAACACTGTATACATGATTTTTCTTTTCTTTTCTTTTTTTTTTTTTTAGAATTGCTAGTTCTAGTTCATTGAGTAAACAAATGTTTTTAGGTGTTAAACAAGAATATGCTAGAAACAGGTTTATCAAAATTAGTTTACATATTGCAGTATTTCAAAAATCGTCTTACAGGGTAAGTCAGATAAAGGTTCTTTCTCACTTATTACTAAAACCCAGCATATGAAAAATCATTAGCCAGCTTGGATCTTAGAGTTTGGGAATATTTTATTATTCTGCACACATCTTATAAAAATAATTACACTTGCCACAGCAAGCAATATTAAGGAGCTCTGTGTTTGTGAAGAATTTTGTTTGTTTGACTTCTTTTAAATAGACCAAAGGAGAAGAAAAAAGAAGACTGCTCTCGAGGTACCTCTGTTGCACGTTTACTTTTGTGTAACTTAAATTTGAGTAAGCAAAGTAAAACATGGAGGAAGGTCTTAAAACATGTTTGGTTACCATTGTTTTTAAAATACAAGTACTGACTGGAACTGTTGGCTAAACATACCTGGAGATCCACATTTTGAAATTTCCAAAAGCAGAAACATTCCTCCTAATTTAGCTCCTAAAAATAATTGCTGAATCAATTTTTGAAGTTATACAGTTTATTTAGTTTCCTAATACAGAATTTTAGATGACTTCAAACACCAATAGCTGAAAGGTCCTGGGGAAGAATTAGTTTACAGAGGTGCCAACTAGATGTTATTATAAGATACACGTTCCCAGGACTCAGTAACATTAGCAAACAGGCAAGAATAAAGTATTTGCACGTTATGTTCTGGTATTAACGCTCAGCGGCCAAAGATGATCACATGGGAACAGGTTCCTTTTCAGAAAAATTCTTTGAAGCATAGACGATTCTTTGAAGAAGAACAGAGGCCCAGATGTAGCACCCTATTCATTAACCACGACAAAAAAAAAAAAAAGCATAAACCAAGATTTTTATACCAAAGAAACATGGTAATACTTCTTTTGCTCTTGATAGTCACTGTTAAAATGAGTAAATTATTTGGAGATCAAGGGAAATCTGTTAATCCTTCCACAGAATGAGTTCTGTGAATGCTCATCTTGAGTTTCATGCTGCAAGCCAGTGGCATAGATTAAAAGTCTAATTAATGATAACATCCTCTGGATAACATAACTTCTTGGGTAATCCTTGTTTTAAATTCCATGCTGTGAAAGATTATACCCACCGGAATATAAGCTCCATGAGGTCACAGATTTTTTTTTTTTTAACCATTTTCATCACTGATGTAACCCCAGCACCTAAGATACTTGGCACTTAATAGGCATTTACTAAATATTTTTGAATAAATGAATGATAGCAATGCCCCAACATGTTTAGGCTCTCATAACAAAATATATGCAGAACATACTAAAATGAACGTCTCCTTGAGGTATCAGCTTGGTCTTAAAGCCATGGCACTGAAATATATCCTGAACTTCCTTCACAAAATTTTACACTAACCAGAGGCTCGTCCAAAAATATGTAACCCAGAGCATTTTACCCCACTCTCTGTGTAACTTGCCTACTCCAGGGGCAATGACATGAAGTGGGAAATGAGAAAGGCCCACATAATCCACCTCAGGAAGGAAATCAAAAGTTCATCCCCATTTCAGCCCATCACTTAATAATATAACATCATTGGAACCAGGAACACCTCACCCGTCAGCTCACGTGTCCATGTACTCTATCATATCATGCCCAGGGCATTCTGGAACAAAGCAGAGAGCCTTGATTTGTTCTTTTCTCTTAGTCCCTGTTCCTCCACTGCTAGAACTTTCTAAGAAATTCTATAGAATTTCACAAGGATCCAAGAACTATCTGGCCTGGCCCAGAATTTGGGTCAGACACCTTTATTTCTCAGGGACAGTCATCAGTCCAGATGTAACATCCTTCAGGAGCCTTCCACAATGCCTTCTAAGCTGGTTTAGTCATCCTCTTCTCGGATCTCATTTACCCGGAACCTCTCCCAGAGCACCAAATTGTATTGAAATGATCAGTGAGTAGCTGTTTCTCCCACTAAATTGTAAGCTTCCTAAGGGGCCATGTCTTATTCCTGCCTAACATTTGTCATAGTGGACGGCACAGTGCCTAGAACAGTAAGTATGCAGGCAATGCTTGCTGAATTCCATACCCCCTGCAACCATCCTTTAGAATGGTTGTATGGTGAAGACGGAATATTGTTGCTAGAAATGTTCCTCTCCTACAATGGAAAGCACTATTTGAAAAACATAACTTGATATTCTGTTTCAGAGAGGACGTCATTTCTGTTTTAAGAAACTTGTCCAGGAGTGCCTGGCTGGTTCAGTCGGTTCAACATCTGCCTTCGACTCGGGTCGTGTTTCTGGGGTCCTGGGATCGAGCCCGGCATCCAGCTCCCTGCTCAGCGGGGAGCCTGCTTCACCCTCTCCCTCTGCCTTCAGGTTCCCCTGCTTGTGCTCTCTTTCTCTCAAATAAATACATAAAATTTTTTAAAAAAAAAGAAACTTGTCCACAATCTCATGATGCACCAGAGTTGGTCAGGACCTTGGTTCCAGGTTCCAGAAATCCAAATAGAACTAGCTTAAGCCAGATGAAGTATTTATTATAATGATAATATGTCTCCTAGAGCCCACAGAAAGGAACAGAGTGAGGTTAAACTTTGAGAATTACACATAATGGGGACTCAGACTGTCAGAAAACTTGAGTCTCGTCTCTGTTCTCCTCCGACCAGTTTCTTTTGTCTTTCTGCACTACATGGAGCAAAACATGGCCGCAATAGCTTCAAAATGCACATTTTAATGTGCAAAAAACCCAGAAAGACTAACTTCTGTTCAGGTTCACAGTCCCCCTGGGAATGACTCCAATTCACCCAACTTCATGAAGTGCTCACCTTAGACCAACAAAATGCAGCTATTTGTGGGGTTCAAAAATATGGCCAGGCTGTTGGGCAATCTCATAGGTGTCCACCACACTTCCAAATTCATTAGTTTCTAAGAAAAACCTATAATCAAAATGGACTATTTCAAATATATGAATGGTAGTCTCTATAAAATATAAAGTTTTTTTTTAAGATTTGATTTATTTATTTGACAGAGAGAGACACAGCGAGAGAGGGAACATAAGCAGGGAGAGTGGGAGAGGGAGAAGCAGGCTTTCCGCCAAGCAGGGAGCCCGATGCGGGGCTCGATCCCAGGACCCTGGGATCATGACCTGAGCCGAAGGCAGACGCTTAACGACTGAGCCACCCAGGCGTCCCAAATATAAAGGTTTTTAAAGCAATAATCTGCAAATTTCTTTCTCTTAATAATTCATGGTATTGATAAAAAATTTTTGAAATAAATATTCTTGCTTTGTTTTAAAAATAAATTTACTTTATTATATAATAATGTTGACAGTTTACATAAACAACATCATTTAGAACATGCAAAACAATTATAAAATACATTTTTAAAAGATATGAAAATCTTTGAAGTTCCTTCTTGATATCGGACCTACCAAATTTTAAAAGACACCATTTACATTTTAGGATCAAAACAACATTCCCAAGCCTGACTTGGCTTGAGAGATTCCACTGGTCAACCAACATCAGTTGAGGGAAGAAGAAACATTTACAGCATTGTGTTTTGTTTATTTAAATGCTGTAACAAGCGTTTCTTTCGAGCACTTTGGTATCAAAGAACACCGAGGAAAAGCAAGGGCATAAATGAGCCCAGAAGAAGATTTTTGAAAACTAAAGCATATGCAGCAGTAATCTATTGGATATAATCCTGTTTCAAGGATGCCCATTAAGTCAGAAGGAAAAATGGATTTAGAAGATGATTAGTTGTTTGGCTTAGCTCTTAATATATTTGAGCTTTTTCTGTGAAGACAGCCTCATTCTCACTCAAAACACGATGTGTGATAGAAGGTGACATCCAACTTTATCTTTGGTCTGAATTCTCCACTTCACTTTGTGTATGAAGTCTACACTGCAAAGTAAAATCTGCTAGGATTCTGGAATAAAAGCTGCTTGGCTAACATCGCAACAGCAAAAGTATAGCAATTTGGGGACATCTTCCATCGGTTTCTGTAAATTCCGGTCAATGCAGAAAGTTTCATATTCTATGGAATATTGGCTAAATGTAGATTTAGCTTTTTCAGTTTTAAAAGAGTCTTTATTAAATATGCTATGGAGCTGAAGGAACATTTGGCAAGATGGTCCCAAGTAATAGATGCTTACGGTCATGATTTCATCCCATCAACATCCGCTTGAGAGCAATCACAGGCACTGTTTTTTGGAAGAACAAAAATGAGACTATGGTCACAAACAATGTGTGCCTGGGCTCTGTTGGGGTGTCCCTGACCATTGCCCAGGAATAAACAGCCTCTTCTTCCAGGGCTATTTTTTATCCCTTAGTGAGCATGAACACTTACCTGGGCCTTACAGACTCTCAGGCATTTTCTTTCCATCTTTATTCATTACCCTAGCTATGGAACAAATCTGTTTGCTTTACTAACGTAAGAATTTATTCATGCCACGGAGAATTTATAAAGGAGCAAAGAAACATAATAGAAGTCAATGCTGCAGAAAACATGATGGTAACAGTACCATATATATCCAGGACTCTCCAACCTGAGTTTCTGCAGGAATACAGCCCCAGCATCTCAGAGTCATGGCAAAACACAGTTTAGTATAAAGTCTTGGGTTATATTAGTGAGTTGGGTTGTACCCACTCTCATCAAGAAAAATGATAGTTAAGAACACAAACTAAAATTGGGTAAATCTTGGTTCCCATTCCAGCTCCATCAATTCCTAACTCTGTAAATCTAGGTTATGTTATTTAACTTCTTTTTGTCTGTTCCATATATGGGAAATGAGGATCATAAGAGATATCTCATAAGTTCTTAAAAGGATTAAAGGAAATGATGATATACTTTAAATTCTTGGTCCGTGTAAGTGCTGGGTAAATGGTAGCTTTATTATTAATTCAGTTTCTAAAATCTGAACTCCTTCCCAGTTTCCTTTTTTGTTTGACTAGTAATCCTGGTAAGAAAACTTTAAGTGGAAGTTGATTAAAATTTCTTAACTGAGTGCTTTTTCCCAATTACTGAACAACAATAAAATTATTTACTATTATAAAAATAGTAAAAAACACAGACTAACATTACAAATATAAAGTAAATATATCATTTATAATTCATTTCTCCTGGCTATTTTCCTGAGACACATTCTGTCCATTTTCAAATGAGCAAGGCATTTTATTTTGCAGCTTGCCACCAGCCTGGAGGTAACTTCATAGCCTGTAGGAATAAGGAAAAAGACCGCAAGCTAGTTAAAAGAAATGTACTATGCAAATTAAAAAAAAAAAGTTTAGAGCCAGCATTTTTGTCTTCAGTTCATTAATGATGAGTGTCATCCTGTAATAAGTTAGGAGAACATTATGATTTCTCGATAAATAGGTGCCATACCCCATGTACTTGCTGGGTGTTTCTGGAAAAGGAAATTCTTTCTACTGCTGGTGGAGCAATGAAAGTCACTGCTCTCTCTTGCTGGAGGTGAACAGGAAGCCTGTGGTTCCATGCTACTGCTGTGACTTTAGAGGAACTAGCCAAGGATGAAGCCAACTCTTGGATACACGAGCAGAAAAAGAGAAAAAATGTTTCCCGGTGTGGGAGCCTCTGGTTCACCCAAGCGTGCAGACTACCTTCCCTCTGGACTGCCAGTTCATGTGAGCCAAAACAAGTCCTTTGTTTTAAATCAGTCTGACTGGGTTTGCCGCAATCACAGCCAAACTACCCCAGCTAGCTGATGGTGCTAGCCATCCTCCATTTGCCCCTGGGAACCTTTCTCTGCTTACCACCCCCCACACTCTCCACTCCAGGAGGAGGGGGCTGACACATCACAACAGCTCCCTTGCCTCCCAGGTGCTGGTTGGGTTTGGCTAATGGGAGGCACCTGTTGAAGATCTGAAGGCAGGAGGTGAGAAAGTTTGGGGTGTTTTTTCTGCCTTTCCTCCTCTTCCTTGTTTTGGTTCCAGCAGTGGCTACTTTCGTCCACAGATACAGCTCTTACAGAGTATAGGTCCTCTGGCGGCCAGCTTCTCAGTGCCAAAGTAACCTTCCCCAGCCCTTTCAGGCATGGGAGAGGGGCAGCCTCCTGCCAGTGTTAGACTCCAGGAGCCTCGAAGTTCCTGTGGGTTCCTCAACCCTGCCCTCCCAATCCCTCGTCAAAATCTCCTTGTTTGGATCCTGCTGGGATCCTAATTGATAGAACATTTAAAGAGCTTAGAACAGTGTTCGGCACAGGGTAAACGCTCAGTTAATGGGGTTATTATTAAAACATGGTTATTGCTATTTTTTTTTAATGTGAGATGTACAAACTAAAACACCTCTTCTTTGTGCCCCAAAATGAGGAAGAAAAAGGTTGATCTCAGCACACTAGAAAAAGTATATATATATAGTCCTCTTTCCACATGCCTCTCAATGTGGTAACACACAACAGAAAGATATGAGAAAGTCTTTTATTTGGCTTCGGATTCTATGAAAAAAAGTAATTTACTTTTAGATGTTTTGAAGCACAATCAAATTCCAATCACTGATTTACTAGATAAAGTTAAGCCCCATTTCACCAGGTAACTGTCACCTGAAGAGCATCCCATCTACCAAGTTCATCACACTCACCATTAAGCAATACTAGTCTCTTGAATATCTTCATTTATTGGAGTTACATCTTTACCCAGAGTTTCCATTTCTTCTTCCTTCTTCCTTCTTTTACGACGCTTCCGAAGAGGGCTAGGAAAACAAGGTGTCAGACATTGGTATGGGCCTGTTAGTTCATGTGAACACTAAATCGACCATCAAGAGGGCCTATGATTTTATTTCGAAATGGTTAAAAGTTTGTAGGTTCCTTTTTTTCTTAAATATGTTTGGTTCTCTCTTAACCTATCTCTTTCCCCAGGCTCAAATGATAGCCACAGTAGGCCAACGTAATGAATAGAGTAGAGTTACTTAAATAGAAAGAATATGGTACCTGGGTGTTGATGAAGCTTGTTTAGCACAAGAAAAATTTTCAGAACAAGTTATTTTATAAAACTGACAAATAAGCATTGTTTAGTGTGTGAAGAAGAAATAGTACAAATTGGAAACAGACATAAGAAAATCAAGAGAGTGAGGGTAGCCTATGGCTATGTTAATTAAGCTTATAGATACATTAAACAAAGTGTTAGATACTCTGGACAGAAGTCCAGTTTCTTAAAGTTTAATTCAAAATTGATGTGATAAAATAGGCCATTTCTCAGCTCTACCCCAAAACTGGTGTTATAAAAACCCCTTTTTGCCATAACGCAGGTAAAAAAATTTTTAAATATCTTTCCATTTTATAGCTACAAGGAATCTTACAGATTATCTGGTTTAATCATCCTGTTTTATAGAAAATAAAATGCCAGTTTAAGGATGTCGGTTAAACATCTACCTTCAGGTCATGATCCTGCAGTCCCAGGATCGAGTCCCACATCGGGCTCCCTGCTCAGCGGGGAGTCTGCTTCTCCCTCTGTCCCTCCCCCCTCTCATGTTCGCTCTCATTCTCTGTCAACTAAATAAATAAATAGATCTTAAAAAAAAAATAAGGATGTTAAGAAGTTCGTCCAAGGTCTCAAAGATACCTAATAGCAGAGCTGGGATAAAAATAAAAGATTCTAGACTTCTGGTAGCTACACTAAAGTTTTTTTGTGAAGAAAGGAGTCATGAGACATCCTGTTTGGGTGTGTACAGTAGCCCAAAAGTGATTGTAGCAGATTAGCTTCTCAGGGCAATGATATAGCACTTTATATATTTTTAAAAGATTTTATTTTTTCATTTGACAGAGAGAGAGGGAGAGCACAAGCAAGGGGAGCAGCAGGCAGAGGTAGAGGGAGAAGCAGGCTCCCTGCTGCCGAGGAGCTCGATCCCAGGAATCCGGGATCATGACCTGAGCAGAAGGCAGACGCTTAACAGACTAAGCTACCCAGGCGCCCCCAAAATATAGCACTTTAAAAAATGGCGGTTTACCATATTCTGTTGGAGTCCTGGTCTGATACAAATTTGTATTTTTTTTATTTTTATTTTTGATACAAATTTTTATAGCTTTACAAAAGAAATTAACTTAAGAATTGTACCAAAACATTCCGTCTCAGAGAAAAAAAAAATCAAGGTGTTTCTTGATTCTCAAAGTTGTGGTACGCAATGAAAAGGAAAAACAGTGTAATCATCTTTTGTAAATAAAATCCATTATTTTATTGTGGCCGGGGGGGGGGGAAATGTTTTTGTGTGTCTGTTTCTACCTTCCTAAGTTACTGTGTCATGGTACAATTCAAGATAATAAAAGTCTTGTTGAGCCCAATAACAAACCCACATAAAATATGACTGACTTCAAGACTCCATAATTGGCTTTTTTTATTAAGATATAATTGACATAGGACATTGTATTAGTTTCGGTATACAACGGAATTATTCGATATATGTATATACTGCAAAATGATCACCAAAGTAAGGATAGTTAACGTTGGTCAGCATACATAGTTATAAAATTTTTCTTTCTTGTGATGAGAACTTTTAAGATCTTCTCTCTTAGCAACTTGCAAATATACAATTGAGTATTGTTAACTACAGTTGCTACAACATACGTCACATCCCCCGGGACTTACTTATCTTACAACTGGAAGTTTATACCTTTGATCACCTTCACACTTTTTGTCCACCTTCTTTTTTTTAATCAAGAGATTTATGCATATTTTATTTTTAATTATAATAATTATGCCCAGTAAAATGACACAAACTATGCATCATGTGTTTTATTGTAAATAGATACTTCAATAAAAGTGATGGTAGACCTCAAAAAGTGATTTATTTAAATCATAGCAAAAAGGAAAGAAGAAAGAGGGAGGAAGGAAGGAAAGAAGAAAAGAAACAGCAAAATACAATTTCTCAGATTTACTTAAAATTAAATTTAAAAAATACTTACTGACAGCATGTGCAGACACCGACCACCAAAATGATAAAAATGACCATAACTGCTATCAGACAAATCACCAAAATCTGCCCTCTATCTCCTCTGAGGTAAAACAAGTCAACTCTCTCACATCTCGCCCCAGTGTAGCCTTCATCACAGCTGGAAAAATAAAACAACAGGGTTAATAGTGCAAGACTTTGAAGAATCTCTACTCTTTCTTGTTTGAAGAAACTAACATTGTTGTCATTAACTGGAACTAATAGAAGGTGCAGTTCCTCTAAAAAAAATTTTTTTTCCAATTAAGCTGAATACCCCTGTGTTCACAAATAATTTCACTTTCTTTGCTTTGCTGAAAACCTGTCATCACTTGAACAGCAACAATATGGCTAACATAAATAAACAGAGATGATGGCAATTTACTAAAACTTAGTTTAAAATTTTAGATTCTGAGCTTGAAAGAGAGGGGATAGTAAAATTCCCTCCGCAGCCTTCCCAAGCACGTAAATAGCAGCATAACAAGGAATTCAAAATCCCCAGGACTTCCCATTTCATTGTAGGGCACCCAACATGCCCAAGTTCTCTTGCTACAAATTATTTAAAAATTACACTACTTTTTTTTAAATTTTATTTTATTATGTTATGTTAATCACCATACATTACATCATTAGTTTTTGATGTAGTGTTCCATGATTCATTGTTTGCGTATAACACCCAGTGCTCCATTCAATACATACCCTCCTTAATACCCATCACCAGGCTTTATATGATCCAACATTGTAATGTGTGTGGAAGTTCATAGACCAATGCCTAACACATAGAAAGCTCCATAAATGTGATTCAACAGGATTTCTCTCTCTCTCTCAACTTCCACCCACCAATTCTGATTCTGCTACTCGAAGTGGCCACACAGGACGTGATGCTCCTCCATTCACCACCTCTCCAACCACATGCTCCCAAAACACAGTAAGTCTTGTCCTCTCCAGCTCCTTTATCTGATGCTCAGGAGTCCATTGTCAGATGTGTACACCATGCCTTCCACTGTCCTGTAAGTGGCCCCTTTCTCTGTGGCCCTCATAAAGTGCAGCAACCAGACAGCAACAAATGCCCAAGGGGGACATTCACTTTCCTCGGTCTCTCAACTCTTTATCCACACAGCCTTAGGATTTACCTCAACACAGCAGGTTCTCTTTGGCCCAGCCAAGGCCTGTCTGAGCAACGCTCAACAAGTTAAAAGCTCAGTGATTTGGAGACTATCCATAGTATTCTCTGCTTCAAAGGTATGTAAGAAGTTTGTCTGAGGACACTTCAAAAGTGAAAACATGTTGTGGCATCAGTACCTTTGCATTAACAAGTATTTGCCCTTTCGACCCCTCAGACTCGTTCAAAACAAAAGAGATACTGGTCACATATTTAATTATATAAATCTCAAAAAGATGAAATTCTACTTCTTAAAAAGATTTCTCTGTAACCTTGGTTGTTTTTTTTTGTTTGTTTTTTGTTTTGTTTTGTTTTGTTCTGTTTTTATTTTTTAAAGAAAGGATCTATTTGCCAGGCCATTCTATAGGTTATGTTTGACAGGAGCAAGGCATTTAATTCCCATAAAGCCTATCTTGCACAAGTAAGGAGATCCCTTAATGCCAACATTATAACTGATATAATGCTTGAAACAACAACAAAAAAAAACTAGCTTGGTCACAACCATCAACTGAAAGGTGATGCTCAATGCAAGCCAAAGAGAAAAGATATCTAATGGCGTCTATTGCAAAAGGACCCCAAGGACATATGAGGGAAAATTGCTTCCTGCAAGATAGCTAGCCATCTTTGTCACAAGGTCAGGATCACAAGAAGAGAGCTTAGAAATATCTTGAAATATCAAAAGTCTCTTGCACATAGGACTGGAGCTGGAGGGGAAAATCACATTTAATTGTATGTGTGGGAGGGAGATTTTTTAAAGAGTTTTTTTTTTAAGGTCATAATTGAAATCTTACAAATATAGTCTCTTCCAATTAGCTCGTTTCTCTAACAAATTTAATGAATAAGGAATTTTTAAACAATAACTTTGCCTATAAAATATAGAGCCCTTACTTGCTGCTTTTTTAGAATGTTTTTCTAACGATAAGTTCTGGGTTCAGTGGCGAAACCATGCTTTAATTGAATTTCTCAGTAAGCAGTACTTCTTGCAAGCTATAACCTAATAAAGTCATGCTAGAAGGTCAAACCTTTCCATAGCCAGTTATATAGTGGCTCTCATGCTAGTTCCCTTCTCAGCAAACCAATAACATATCAGCTAATGGTCATTTCAACGGGAGAGGAAGAGATCAAGAGGGCCAGATCCTAGTAGATGTTTATTAAATGCTGAATAATTGAATAAATGAGTTTTTATTTGATAAGCATCCTATAAAATGTAAAATAATTTTTAAAGATGCCCATGACCCTTCAGGACTCTGACAAATCAGATTTGGGATGACTATTCTGAAATAATCAGCAGACACTATTATAAGAGATTTGTAACTATTAACACAATTGATCCTTATAACATCATTTGAGATAGGTGCCATTTTTAACCCATTCTACAGATGGAAAAACAGAGGTATAGAGAAATTAAGTGAGTGGGGCTGGGATTCAAACACAGGAAGTTTGACTCTCAAGTTTATGCCCCAAGCACACACAACACTGCTTAAATGAGCTGTGCTGCATAAATAAATAAATAAAAAGTATGTGTCTAGAAACAAATCATCCCCATTCCGAGAAAATACTGAGAAGACTAAGGGGATTTGAGTTATTGGAAACACACTTTTTTTTTTTAATGTAAAAAGCAGGAGTCCACAACTCCTGTAATTCCAAGCAAAAGGGGATACCTCTGGTTTTTCAGGGTAACAGAGTTACCCATGGCAAGAGAGTTTTGCCTGAATCTATGCTATGCCACGTCACCCAAAAGTTCAAACCCAAGTCAAACATGTCCCACTCATCGCAGCAGTACAATTTATGGAACATCTACTCTGTGCTGGCTACTATAATAAAAATTTTTGCTTAACATAATGCTTTATTTTCAACACTTGAGAGGGAAATATTACTATCCCCTTTTAGAGGCTCAGGGAAGGTAATTGGCCCACTGTTAGCAGTGCTTATAACTGGTGCAAAGTCTTAACTCAAGTCTATCTGACTCCAAAATCTGTGTCCTGACTACTATGCTCTTCGGCTTCCCATTGGTTCTGTAGCATTTTACCACTAAGAAGCTATTCCTGGCCCACAGGCAGGCCTTGGTTTTGACAGTTAGCATAGCATTAGATGGACCATGCTAGAGGGGCTTATTGACTTATTCACCAGTCATTTCCTGAACACTTATTAAATTCTGGCCCTGTACTTGGCACCAGAACACAAAAAATGAATAAGCCACGAGACCCACCTTTAGGTGCTCACAGACACAGAAGGGTGACTCAAGGAAACCAACAGCTATGCTTCAGAGGAAAAGAATTTGCATAGGAGGGTGACTGGATCTCAGAGAAAGGACGTTTAACACACCTGAGTGTGTGTCCAAGAAGAGGGAAGTCAGTGCCAAAGCAGGGGTCCAGGAGGAGCTGATGTCTGAGTTGCAACTAAAACATCAGTAACAATAAACTTTCCGGACTGTGGGAGCTTGTGTGATAAAGCATGAAAAGGAATGTAGGATTTCAGAGGAACATCTGGGCACACAGTGAGAGATATGACTAAAAGGGTGAGCCAGGATCAGAGGAGCTTACGGAGGCCATAGAAATGAGTTTTAACCGCACGCTGAAGGGGACAAGCTGTGTATTGATCTTAGGCAGGTAGTTTACATATAGTGGTTTTCATTTTAGAAGGCAGCAGTATTAAAAAACAATAAATCAGCAGACATAGGGACAAGTTAGAAAAATGTACTGGGTTAAAGGGCATTAATATTTTAAAACTCAGGGCACCTGGGTGGCTTAGTTGGTTAAGTGTCCGACTCTTGATTTCGACTCAGGTCATGATCTCAGGGTCATGAGATGGAGCCCCGGGTGGGGCTATGCGCTGGGTGTGGAGCCTGATTAAAATTCTCAATTCTCGTGGCGCCTGGGTGGCTCAGTCGTTAAGCATCTGCCTTCGGCTCAAGTCACGTTCCCAGGGTCCTGGGATCCAGCCCCACATCAGGCTCCCTGCTCAGTGGGGAGCCTGCTTCTCCCTCTCCCTCTGCTGCTCCCCCTGCTTGTGCTTTCTCTCTCACCATCTCTCTCTCTGTGTCAAATAAATAAAATAAAAAAAAATATATTCTCAATTCTCCCCCCTAAACCGCCATGCTTGCATGAGCATGCACACCCTCTCTCTCTCTCTAAAAAAAATAATAATAATAAAATAAATATTTTTAAAACTCAATATATTCTCTTAAGCCAGTGGGCAATTAGAGGAAATAAAAAAAAAAAATCACTCTTTTTTTTTCCCAAACACACACACATTTTTTTATTTCCTTACATTAGCAATTCTTATGCCCCTCTAAGTATTATCCAGTATATTTATTTTTTAATTAGATTTAATTATAATTAAATTTTGATGAAGTCCATGGCCCTTAAATGTCCACTAAATTAGGATTTGGAATCTCTGTTTTGAGACACTTATAAAAAAATTGTATACTGGGGGAACGACACATAAAAACGTAAACATTCTATAAACTTTAGGTCAAAATTATACTTAAAAAATCACCTTGCTCATCCATCAGGAGAGGTCTCAGAGAGAGGGACATCTCTTTAGAAGAAAACAAATATTTTTTAAATGCAAAAAGATTGTCTGTGCCTGAACAAAATTAAACTTGGACTCAATCTCCTAAGAGGTGGAAAGAGTGCTTTTCTTCCAATCCCCTTCATAATAAACAGGCTTTGCAAATCTCTGCTTATAAACAGACTCATTTCCTTGCACTTCATTGACACCTGCAAAAGTAGCTTTTAATGTGGCAGAAAACCCTCCATATTTACATTAACTACAAACCACTTCACACATGACGGAAGAATTCGCTTCCATTCAAACCACCCAGGAGATTAATGGAGCCAAAAAGCATGCTTCACACCGGACAGAAAGTTCTGCTTGCGGAAAGCAGCAGAGGACACAGCCTGCGAGCGGACCTGGGCTCCGGCAGGCTCCCATTTCAGGAGGAAAGTGGGCGTCCGTTTCTCCATAAGCAGCTGCCCAACGGCCCCCGAAGCAAGTGCCCGGGGCAGGCCCAAGGGAACGGAGGGGGTCCAGGAACCAGGGGCTTGGTTAGTCCAGACTTTCCAGTCCTGCCAAGTCCCAGGCCGGCACCGTTGTGCACCCCTCTGCCTGCTGGCCGGAGCGCTCCACTTACACGCAGGACGGCGTCTGCTCGGCCACCACGAAGCGACATCGCCCTTTGATGCAGTAGTGCTTGTATTGCTTGGGGCACCGCGAGAAGTGGCCTCTCCGCCTGGCTTGCGTGGTGGTGGCTGCCAAGTGAGAAAAAGCCCCATCAGTCCACTCCAGATACACATCGGTGCCTAGAATCCTGTTCCTCTCTTTGCCGCGGTTTTTCCTATAGAACATACTCCAATTTCTCGATTCTCCGTCTCTCCACACTGGGATAAAAGCCAGAGTTTTGTGGTCCCCAAATAGCTCTAAAGATAGGGTCTTGGGGATCCTGGTGGGAATGTTGCTTATTTTAATTAAGATTTGTGTCCAGCCTACCTCTCAGAAACCTTGGTGTTGCTTAAAGGGTGAAGCATAGTTGCAGTGAGAGAAGACTACACTTTCTGGGAAGGTTATCAGAGCCTTTTACTTTTCATTCAAAAAATAACTCTTTTTTCTTTTCTTTTCCTTTCCTTTCTTTTCCTTTCCTTTGCTTCTTTCCTTAAACATGCACATAACACTTACCAAGTGCTGGATACTGGTCATATACTTTATATATATATATATATATATATAACTATATAGTAACTTGATGCTTATAACAGCCCTGTGAGGTAAGCATCATTCTAATCTCCCATTTATGGGTGAACAAAGAACAACACATGGAGGCTAAGTCACCTTCCAAGATCACACAGCTAGTAAGTGGCAGAAGCAAGACTCAGACGCAGTGGGTCTTGCCCTGGAGTCCATGACTGTCCTACTGTGGCGCTGGGCCAAGCCAGGTGTTCAGCAGGGAGCTGTCATCTGCTCTCAACCTGCTGCACCCAGTCGTGCTTGCCTGAAGGAGAGATTCTCCCTCGCAGTTAACCCCTGAATGGTTTCTCTTGCCCTGAAGAAAGGAAAATCCTGGAAGCTTCATATCCAGGATTTTGATCCTGCTTGGACTTCCTTGTCTTACCTTTTAGAGTTTTCATTGCCTAATTTTTTAACTGGGGATAGAAATATGTAACAATTTCTCCCTTGCTTACATGTAGAAGGTTTTAATAAATAAGGATTGACAAGAGAAACAGTACAGAGATACGGACTTGCTGTTCCATGTGCTGATCCACACCAGACATGTGCCCACACCCAGAGACTACAGCTAACTAGCCAGCTCCGGCCAAGGTTTGGACTTCCCCACATTCGTGGTGTGACCAACAGTGTACAGGACTCAGACACCTGTGGAGCCAGAAAGACCACGATGTTCACTTCAGAAGGGCGTTTCACACGAGGTTTAGTATGGCACCGGGCATCCCAATGACCTGAATAGTAATGACTCCTAAAACGTCTTAATTAATACGATAAAATGAGTGTATATAATTGCCCAGGGCCACCAAGGAGAGGAATTGCCAAGAACTTCGGATGATCTATACACAGCAAATTCCTGTGATGCCAGGTCACAAAGTTTCAGGGGGTGGCAGAATGTTGCTGAGGAACTGGCTGACCTGGTTTGGGTTGGTGACTTGATTACCAGCTATGCTGACAGTTTGTGCATGCCAACATATGCTCCCATGCATGCCAATCAATGCGGTTCTTACTGAAATTTCTTCCAGAAATAACTGCAAAGTGTCTTAAAAACAAAGATCTGTATGTTTTGACAAATAAACTTATCAGTCAACTTTCATTCGTACCTGCTATTTCCAGAGTCCTGTAGTAAGCCCTGGGAAACATCAGAAGAGTAAAGCATATCTTGTCTATCTAAATTGGTACAACAGAACACATTAAAGATGATAATAAACAACCCATTGATAAGAACAGCCATAGTAACCACATAAACAGTTGTGGCATGCTGGAAACAGTGGAAAGAAAGAAGACCAGATTAGGAGGAAGGAAATCAGTGTTTTTAGCTCTGCCTTTCCTTAGCTGCATGGGTCTGGGCAAGCTTACGAAGCGGTCTGTGCCTCAGTTTCCCTACCTGTATACTGAAGATGATAGCATCTGCCTTAGAGGGCTGTTATGGAGATCAAATAAGAACTCACGTGGATGTTCTTAGCAGAGGACCCCGGACAATCAAGTCCTCAGTAACTGAGTTGATGCTAGAATCTTGAAAATCTTGGAAATTCTAAGAGAAATCTTGTATCATTACAAAGAGTGCTTATCTAAAGAAAGAAAATGTTCTGGAAAACACGGATTTTTTTTTTTTTAAGAGGAGGTAAGCAAGCTGTTCAGTTGTGAAGGATGTTAGGAGCAAAAGCTCAGGGTCAGGAATACGCAAGCCTGATCATGCAGCGGGTAGGAAGCAGATCTAATGGAGATGTAAGGGGACCTGGTGGGGAGCAGCCGAGGACGGCTGTGAATGGAAGTTCGAAACCTCAAATGTCAGTAGGCTGAGGTGTTTACACTTGAAACACAGGGCAAGGGAGAGCTGAAGAAAGTTCTTATGGATTACATTAAGTGGTATATGTAAGAGCTACGCTTTTTGAGTTTAAAATTGTATCAGTGTATTAGGTAGAAAGCTGCTGATTGGATTAGAGTAGGAAGAGGCTGGGAGCAAGGAGAAAACCATTGGCTGAGCCACGCAAACATACGTGACGTGGGCCTGCAGCAGGGACACGGAGGTCTAGGAGATGAATTTAAGAAGCAAGAAGACTTAGTGACAGAGCTGCTGTGCTCCAGAAAGGTCCTTCCTACTTTGCAAAGCATCCCTGACTTTAAGCATAAGCCATATGGCTCTGTATCCTGAGCTTTAGTACTTCCTCTAGTTGTTAGGCCCCTTTAAATGTAGCCAGCCTTTTAATAAACACCATACAGAGCGAGATACCAGAAAGTGCCTTGACCAGCAGCTGCTGGTTGCAGTGACTTGACCGGCCTCAGCCGGTCTAAGCAGCACAGACCCGTGCCAAGGAAATGGTTGCCAGGCGCTGTTTGGATCATTCACAGAGCTCTCTCCTTTGCCAAATAAACATGATCTTAAATATTCCCAGAATTATTTGGATTTAAAAACCCTTCCATGGCACCAAGCAGAAAATATCCAGTGATTTCTCTATGGAACTTTAAAAACTGGAGAAAAATTCATCACACATACTGCGCCGCCCTCCCCCCACCTCCCCAAACAGATGGGATCATCTCTTCTCTCTGATGGAAATGAGAAGGCTTATCAGCATACTCCCTTTCAAAACGCACCTTTGATTCCAGTTCTCTTCATCTATTATTCATCAAGGTCACATTATCTGAAAATTGAACAACTGTGAAATCTAACATTTTCTGCCTATCATGAGACCTGATGACATTTATCAAGAAGGAAAAGTTAATCCTATGACAAAAGAATGAATCTTCCCATGTATTGTTTCTTTGTTGAGAAACGAATGACCTGGTCTTGAAAACCTAACACGAAAATTCCCCTGATACCGGGGTGGTGGAACCTAATTGATCTTTTTTCCCTCCTACCTTACTCTTTTCCAACCCACGTTCCCAAAACCAAAACATTCTCTGGGAGTGAGTCGGTCCCACAGAATTGCACCGTAAAACTACAACAGAAACTCCTAAGCGGATGGTGCCCATCCGCCCAAGTAACGTATCTCAATCTCTTCTTGAGATGCCATATTCCAAAGATTCTAAAGCCAGTTAGATAAGAAACGACGAGGGTTCCTGTAGGTAGGTGTATGACAACATCTAATTCTAAGTAAAAACATCTTTCTTCGATCATATGGGCAAATAGACAAGAAGTGGTCACCTTCCTTGGATCATATGAATAGTTAGATGAGATGTGATAGATTCGCTTGGGTCAAACTTAAGTGGAGGAATAGACCACACACTCAAATGACTTAGTTTAAGTATGGAATTTTTCTCAGTTTGATGGCTGCTTTGATTAAAGAGCACAGTTCCCTGATCTTTCTTGTACACGATTCTTATTCTCAAACCCAAACAGGCCTTGTGATGCTTTATGTTTAAAACTCCTCAGAATTTATACATTAGCTTTATTTTTCATAAAACATTCACTTAGTTCTTCCAGTTGTGCTCATTACAAATCTATTTAATGATCTTATAAATAATATTAATATCAGTAGTTCTTCTAAAATCAACTTGAAGTGTAAAATATTTTATGTAGTTCTCCTTACAGTGTGTTAACCTCATAGTATCTCTAACCCCCTAGTTAAATACATAGTTAAATCTCTGTGCAAGAGATTTAAAAGGAGGGCCTAAATTTTGAGATAAAAGTCTCAACAGTGTTAACAAGAGAGAAGGAGTAAAACAAATACCTATAGATTTTTCTTCCCACATAGATATCTGACCTTAAAAAAGGAGCAGCTAATGCACAGAAAAGTTTAAGTGGTCACAGTTTAAGTTTGCAGAGAAGTTTCTTCCTAGTCTATGATGTAGAGGCTAAGACTTTAACCTCCAATCCTTGGCTTCCTGACAACTTCCCACTAGGAGTTTCCTCCTTTAACAACCTTCTTAAAACAGGAGATGAGGAAGAAAGTTTTATATTTTCTAAGTTAATTTTCCTTCTTATCTTGCCTGCTATCTCCCTGAGATGGGGGAATATAAATTCACACTGTCCTTGAAGAAGTACAAAATTTGAAAATCACTCTTAGCTGAGGATTCCCATTTGTGTTACCCCAATGCCATTTCCTACAGAAATGGAAAAGAGTTGGTGACGCCAGGAAAAGAAAAATAGATCTCACAGATGTACTTGATAACGCTCCAGTGTTACTAGAATATGCTTAGGCAGGAGGCTAATCAGCACAGATCTGCATGTCTTTTAACCAGGAGGACTAGGCCAGTGATTTCGCAGCTTACAGGAGTGGGTCCTCACTTACAGCTGCCCTTTTCATTCTATCCCTTTAAAGGAAGAAAAAAGAATTTAGTGTTGATGTGTAAGTGTATTTGCATGTTTAAAATTATTCACAGCTGGGGGGCAGACAAACAAAAATGAACAGGAAGAGAACTTGTATTTCTTTAGCTTTTCAAGAGAGCAAGCTATGGGATTCTGGTATATATAATGCCTCCTTTGCTCCGTCTCCTTTGCTGGTTCTTTTCCATATCCTCCAGCCTCTAAATTTTGCAATGCATTGGGACTCAGTGCTTTCTCATCTCTTCTCTCTACACTCCCTTTCTGGGCATTTCCTGGCTTTGAACGCCTTCATGGTAACAATCCCAAATTTATGTTTCCATCCCAGATCTCTTCCTTCAATGTCTAAGAGTCCGATGAACATCTCCACTTGGTTGTCTAACTGGCATTTGAAATTAACACTACCCAAATGGAACACCTGATCTCCCCCCTCAAATCTGGTCTTTCCTCATCTCAGTAAATGATAACTACATTAGTTCTGTGATTCAGGTCAAATATCTTAGAGTCACTTTGACTTCTTTCTCTTTTACTCTACATCCAATTCATCAGAAAATTCTATTGGTTGTATTCAAAATATACGCAGAATCATCCCTCCATCTCTACTCCCTTGGTCTAAGCCTGATATTTCTCTCTAGACAGGAAGTAGTCTCCATGGCAACAACTTCTAACTAGTCTCCCTGCTTCTGTCTGTCCTCTCTTAACTGTCTCATTGCACACAGACACCATTTTGCTATTGAAACTCAAAGCTGAAGGTTTTATAATCCCCAGCAAGGCTCTACATGACATTACCCATTACCTCTCTTTCTCCATTACCTCTCCGGTCTCATCTTTGACTATGTTGTTCATTGTTGCATCCGGAGTACCTGGAACAGGGCCTGCTGCATTGCAGGTACACAGAAGTATTGGTAGGAATGAATACATTCCTTACTCAAGGCAGAAAAGGACAAATGAAAAATGAAATGCTAAGAGATTGGGGCTAGTTGAAAATAAAATTATAAAGTCATTTAGAAACCAGAACAACTCGTAAAGATCATCTGATTCATTTTTTCATCTTACAGGTTGCAAACTGATGTCTAAAAGCTTAAGTGACTTGCCCAAGGTCACGCAGTCAATAAAGACAATATGCTCCTGCTCCACATTAATTCCTTTTCAAGAACAGTTTGTCCCTTTTGGGCTTTACTTTCAAGGATTATTTTTCAGAATTTCCTTTGCATATTCAGCATTGTGATCTTCCCACATGATTCTAGCAGTTTAGCATGGTGATTAACAATAATTCTGGAGCCAGTCTCTCCAAATTCTTGTCAGGCTACTCCATCTACTGTGTGACCTTAAACAAGCTAACAATCTTCTGCATGGGAAAGAAACAATTAATAGACTGAAAAGGGAACCTATAGCTGCTATGGGAAATATTATGGAGTTTTCTAAAAAAAAAAAACCTGAAAAACAGAACTACTGTATGATCCTGCAATCCAACCTCTAAGTATTTATCCAAAAGAATTGAAATCAGAATCTCAAAGAGATACTCACACTCACATGTTTATTGCAGTACTATACACAATAGCCAAGATGTGGAAACAACCTAAATATCCATCAACACATGAATGGATGAAGAAAATGTGGTTTATTCAAACAATGGAATATTATTCAGTCTTAAAAAAAGCAGGAACTCTTGCCATCTGCAACAACACGGATGGACCTTGAGAGCATTATGCTAAGGGAAGTAAGCCAGTTATAGAAGAATGAACACATGATTCTACTTAAAAAAGCTATCTAAATAGCCAAATCCACAGGAGCTGAGAGTAGAATGGTGGTTGTCAGGGATTGGGGGGTGGAAGTATGGGGGGAATGAGGAGTTGTTGTTTAATGGGTATAAAGTTTGGGTTATGCAAGATGAATAATTTCTAGAGATGTACTGTACAACATCCTGCCTATAGTTAACAATCTTATACTGTACACTTGAAGTTTTGTTAAAAGGGTAGATTCCATGTTTAAATATTCTTACTAAAATAAAAAAAAATAGGCAACACATTTAGGATAATGATGAAGCAGGTTTTTTAACACTGTCAATCACTGGATGATGGAATAATCCCCCAAAGGAAATGTGAAAATGCCATCATTGAAGGTATTCAAAACTCAGCTGAAGGAAAGCATACAACCACATAAAATTGGCCTTGTTCTTCCCTCTACATGAGTGACAAGACCCACACAAGCATGACCTAAGACACCAATGGATTCCACAGCCTGTGGGCACTTTCCAGACCACCTACTAGTAGGAGGGAAGAAAGAGGAAGACTGGGCTGGAACTGGTGACTCACATCAGGACAACTAGCTCAGCATGTTCCTGGCTCAGTTATGACTTCTCCGGGGTGCTAGCAAAGGCGCACTTAACACCAAGTCACTACCCTCTCAGCTCCAAAAAGTTTCCAGGGAATATAGGAGGCTCTCTCCAACCTACTTTTAGAATTGGCCTGTGTTTTGTTTTGAATCAGAAACAACCCCTGTAGAAGACCGGACCATTCGATCTATAAAGGACAGACTGGGGTCAGTCAAACTGTGGCCCAAGGGCCAAATCTGGCCCACAGCCTGTTTCTCTAAATAAAGTTTTATTGAAATACCTCTAATGCCACTCATTTGCAAAGTGTCTATGGCTGCTTTCGCAGTACAATGTCCAAGTTGAGTAGCTGTAAAAAGGCGGCATGGTCCACACGACCTAAAATATTTATTATCTGACTCTAGATCAAGGCTCATCCCTACTTTGGACTAATAGCTTTGAGAATACTGAATCAAGCATCTCTAATGTAAAAATATATAAAAGTCATTGCCTTCCTCCCTTCTTTTAAGTGTGGAATAGAAAAAAAATAATTTGAATAGAATATGCCAACTTTTTATGAATCTCGTTGAAGATATTCTATGCTTGAGTCTGGAGGACACACCCGAGACACCTAAAATAGTGTCATTATTAAAAATGGAAGCACTGGAATCAGAAAGACCTGAGTGTGAATCCCAGATTTACAATTTACCTGCTCTGTAACCTTTGGCAATTTACTTAATCTTTCTGGGCTTCACCTTGAAATAAAGTCAAAAATACTATCCAGCTCAGAGGGCCCTTGTGAGGAGTGAAGGCATTACTATACATACAGCACTTGGCAGAGAGCCTGGGATATTAGTATGTGCTCAAAAAACTACCTAGTTTTATGATTTCAAGAGTATTAAAAATTAAAATTAGGGAAATCAACTTTCCAAGATTGAACATGAGGCTGATAAAATACAAATGCATCACTTGTTAAGCATTACCTGCGCAGTTTTCCCCAGGATCTCCACAGAGAAGGCCATCCTTTTCAGGACTCCTGGTTGAATTCCCATCTGCCACAACACAGTGGAGGATCACTAGACCTTAAAGTTCAAAACAGAACCAAAACAAGCATGAAAACTTGAAAATTTCCTCAATGCAAAGTATTCTACCAAAGTCATGACCCATTTATGAAAATAACAAGGCTGTGGTTTCCATTTCCAAGGCTATTCTCCCACAGCAAGGGGGAGTGGGGGTGGGTACACAGGCCAAGTTGGAGTCTAATTTTTTTAAGCTCAATGACAAAGACAGAATTTTCAAGCCAGCATCACTTACATGTAACTGTGCATCTTGAGTGAAGAGACCTGGCCATAGCTTGTGATGGAGACATCACAGAGGCGGACAAATAGAGAGAGTTCTCGGCCGATGCACAAATACACTGATGAATTTCCAGGGAGAATGGATGACAAACCCACGTGTAAATGTACTCTCTCCATTCCATACAGACTCAGTGTTTCTTGGGTATTGACTACTGTTTGTACTTCCTTCTCGGGATGTGTGAACTAGATATTCAATTTGTGGGAATTATTTGAAAACTGTAGCTTCCCTCAGCTAAGTATCCCTGTTGCCGAGAAGGACAGACATCATGGAAAGATATGGGGGTGAGAGGAATACTCTGTTGTGGTTAGAACAGTTTAAAATACAATGTGTAGTCCTTGTGTGGACCTGATTCAAACAAATCAACTGTAAAAAGTCACTAATGAGCTAATCTAAGAAATTTGACCCTGACTAAACATTAGATAATATTAAGGAACTGTTACAGATAATTTGAAGTGTCATAATCATACTGTGGTTCAGGTTAAAAAACAGAGTCCATATGTCTTAAAGATATAAATTTAAATACTTATTAATGAAATTAATGTCTCCAAGATCTCCTTTAAAATAATCCAACAAGGGGAGATGGGTGCAAGATGCTGAGAGACACTTACAGATGCAACAAGATTGGCCACACATTGATAATTATTGAAGCTGGGCGGTGGCTATACTGAGCTTTATTATGCTCTTCTCTCCACTTTCATATATATATTTAAATGTCTATAATAAGAAGTTGAAGAGGGCAGGAGAAGGTAAGGGAGGGCAGATGGGGAGAGATGAGATGGCTTGGGAGTTAGCTAGCCCTGAGTTCATGATCTGTTTTTGCCACTTTACAGTCATGTACCTTGGGCCAATTTCATAACCTCTCAATTTCCTCATTGGCAAAGTGGAGATAATTATTATCTCTTCTTCAGAGCATTGCTGTGAGGATTCAATTAGGTAAGTATACAAAACAACACAGTGGTGGCATGTAATCAATGCTCACTTAAATTACTCATTATTATGTAACTGGCAGGAATCGAGTAACTTGCCCACTGGGTATACTGACATTTATCCATCTAGCCAATGGTTTCTAAACTATGCGTGTCCTCTAATTCAACTCAGTTCAACAAACATCCATGAGCATCCAGAAACACACAGGTGGATAGGACAGCCTCTACCTTCAAAGTGCTTCAAAGCTAGTAAGACAGGCAATCAGCTAACCAATTAACCATAACAGGAAGTGAGACTTTTGTGCCAGAAGCAATAGGATCTGGCAAGTTCAAAGGCCAAAAGAGTTTTCAAAAAGAATCTTTCAATATAGAGACTCTTTTCTAGCTATCTAATTAGGAAAGTTTCCAAAAAAAAAAAAAAAAACAAGGTGGTAACTAGCATTGGAAACAGTGAATAGAAATAGAAACTCAAATCCACTGGTGATGGGTAAATTAGCACTATTTTACTGGAGGACAATTTAGTACTGTATGTGCTAAAAGCAAAAAAAAAAAAAATGTTCAAATGCTTCAATGCAGTCATTTCATTTCTAGTAATTATTCCGAAGGAAATAATCCAAGATACATTAAAAAGGTTTAGCTGCAAAAATTCTCTACATGACATGGGTTATAAAAAATTGGAAATTCCCTAAATATCTAACAAGATAGAGTTGATTAAATACATGGAACTATTTTTATGCAATAAAATACTATTCAGGCATAATTCAAACAGTAATAGAACATTTTGATATATTCCTAAGAAAGATAGGCTATAGAATAATAATGCAGTGTGATCCGTGTGTTTGTCTGCATCTGTGTGTGATAAGTGTAAAATATGTCCAGATAGATAGATAAGCAAAAGGGTGGGTAAGTAAGTAGATCGAGAGTTGCTCACATTGGTTAGGAGACTTTTTTCTTAATTTTCCTTATTTGCACTTTCTAATTTTCTAGTAGCATATTTTATTTGTTGCAACAATAAAAAAAATGGAGTGTCTCCCCAGTTGAAAAACACACACACACAATTTGGCCACCAAATTTCTAGATTTTTCATATCTTTTATCCCAATACCTGCCACCCTCCTTTCACACTTATAACAAACCAGAAACATATAATCATTTAGGGCTTTCCAAGCATGCTGATTGTATATTTACTCATCTTTGTAATCCTGATAACTAACACAGAACGCAAATGTTGAAAGAATGAACAAAACAATCTATAAAAGAACAAAACAACTTTCAGATTAAGAAAATCCCAGTATCCGTTTCTAGTGGAAAATCTCAATCAATTTCTTTATTATTATAAAATAGGTTTAATTCATTTTTAAATTCCCATAACATGAGCTTTCTCCATGGGCAGAGTCAGGAGGCCTTAATTCTGGAGTTAATCTGTTCTAATGGTGGGAATTTTACAAAACGCTCTAAATCTTACAAGAGTTTCAACATCCACAAACTGGGGATGGCAATATTCCTTCTAGAGGTTATTGTAAAAATAAAATTAAGTAACATAAGAAAAGGCACGTGGCTTGGCACCTAGTACACAATTTTTAGACCACTCACACTCCTGTCACTTATAATTTAACCCATCGTTCTCCACTTCCACTTAAAAGAGGGAGCCCTGCTTCCACTGAAACCCTGCCCAGGGCCTTCAAGCATTCTGGCAGGCTGGGGCCTGTGCCCCGACTCTCTTCTGCTACAACTCACTCCACATGCTGGCATCAACTGAAGAAGGGATGCCACTGGGGAGAGGTCTGGACAGGACTCCTAGGGAGCAGGCACTCTCAGGCAAACCAAGCAGCAAGCACAAGGCACTGGGGTAGCCTGTGCTATTCTACCCCCACCCACAAACTTCAGGTTATAGTCACAAGCTGAGGGCCATGAACCAAACCCACCTGAAGAACCATTTTCTTGATCTGCATAGTTTTAAAAATTGAATCATGACAGTTCATCTTAAACCCGGATTTTTCTGCTTCTACGGAAAAAGCAGAAGGTCTGGCAACACAGGTGTGAAATACCTTCTCAGCAACAGCTGGGCAAGGCTAAGCAGCAGGTGACCCCCTTTAATGCCACAGACTCCATCAGGCTTGCTGCGCTCATTTACCCTAACTGCCTAGACCCTGACAGGCATTTCAGTTTGTGATCTGTGCGAAGTGACTCAGGAATCACAGAAATGCTCACAAAACCATTTACTCAATACTGAAGGCTGCTTCAAAGAGGAAAGGCATTCCTGTTCCATTCATAATTCAACAAATATTTACTGAGTACCATGACACAAGGCACTGAAGGTTCAAAGATAACAGATGTTATCGCTGACCTTAAGGAGCTCACATTCTGGTAAGGAAGGTAGACACACAAATCTTTAAGGTGTAGTGTAGTAAGGATAACAACAGAGGTGACACAGGATGGAGAATCAAATCTTCCTAGCTGCAGACTTGATAGAGAAGGTGAGCATTGTGGGGAGTTTTTAATGAGGAAGAAATGATTTTTTTAAAACATCAATTAATAACTTCTAGAAGATAAAAATTGTGTAAGCAAGATAACATAATCATTGATGTTATTTGTTTCAGCAGTAGACAAAATTTATATGGTAATAATAATGTAAATACTGATAATTTAAATTATTATATCAAAAATTATCATAAAATCAGGACCAGTAATTAGCCCACATACACCATGTGGAGAAACTGTGGTGATTTATCAGTATCTATATGGTGTTTTGAGCATCACCCCTATAGTGATATACGGAAATTAGGAGGGTAGAGAGACTCAATAGGTAAAAATTAAACTTGCCAGTTCAACAAATAGTATTACAAGCAAGTGATTTAGCAAGATGGAGGTAAATACAGAAGAAACACTTAAAAGAGTCAGAAATGGTTGCTTCTAGGAGATGGAGAGGAAGGAAGCCGTGGTGCCAAGATCTGCTCTTTGTTGTTATAAACCTTTTAGTCCTGTTGGATTTTTAAAAATCTATGTATATTTATTACTTTATTAAAAATGAAATTAATTTTTATGAAAAGAGTAAATAAAGTTGTAACTAGCCAAGGCATTCTAAACAGAAGGGACAGCTTGTAAAAGGACACAGTATAAGTAATACAACCTGTCTGGTTTGTCTGGTGGGTGGGTGGGGTTTGTGAGGGAGAGGAGGCTGGGGGGGCAAATAAATGTGACCATCTTCACTACTTTGGGTTCTGTTAGGCACCTAATTTGGGGTCATTGAAAAGCTCTAAGTGAGAAATAACATAATCTTTTTGTTTGTTTGTTGTGTGTGTGTTTGTTTGAAAAGGTTGCTTGAACACCGGTATAGGTGATTCAGACACACCTAAACCTAGGTGGTGGCACTGGGTATGGAGAAGAAGAAATGAACATGAGGGATATTCACAAAGTAAAATATAAAAGACTTGGTGGCTGGTGGGATAGAGTGGGAAGTGAGAAAAAAAAAGAAGTCTAGAATGACCCCAGGGTTTGGGACTTGAGCGGCTGGCTGGGCTGTGGTACCAATCACAGATATACGGGACACCAGAAGACAAACATTAGGGAGAAATACTAGTGGCCTAAGAAGTATGCAAATGATTTCAGGTTACTCTTCAAAGATGTCCAACTGAGAAAGGGAGGGGAAAGATTAGTGAATAGATAAAGAAAAAAAGGGAGTTGTTTTTGTTTTTAATGTGAGAGAAAATTGATAGAAAGAAGCAAAGGTATAGGAAAGAGGCAAAGGATGGGCTACCAGTAGAGGCAGAAAAGGTTACAAGTGTAGCCTGGAAGGCA